TTCAAATAATTTGTTAAAATAAGTTGTTCAAATAAGTATATAAAATATCTTTTTCGTTCAAATAATTTAAGCCTAGGGCACCTTAGCGTGAAGTGTGTGTTCCTGTTCAATCCTTTTTGTATAGTCACACAATAGTGTTTTTAATGGGAAGGTTAGGAAATTGAGTGAATGTGGTGCGAATGAACTAAGGAATGAACGAACGGTTAGGAAATTGTCATGAATTTGAAGGAAGTGTAGGAGATTGTTTTTATATATTGAACCTATATTATCTGGCTAAATAGGTCTTGTACCTAAGGCCAAAAAACAAAAAAAAAATTAAGCCTATAGTACGTTTGAAAACTCTTGGATTGAGCATCGTTAGTTAATTTGTCATTGCATTTTCTCTTACATGTTGTACTACACTGATTCTTAATTGAAACCCCTGGGATGTAATTCCCTCTACTAGAAACATAACTTTCTCCACGCTGTCTTCTTTTTTTTGCAATATTTCTTGACCAGCTATTCGGATTCCTTTTCCAGTTTCTTGTTTTTCTTTGTTGTTACAGGAAGTACTTCCATACCTTTCTTCAGATAGTTCACTTGAAGAACTTGAAGCATATTCTGGATGATCGGGTGAATATGATTCAACATCAGACTTCAAATTATCTAATAATGCTGAACGTGGAGTGCTGAAACCGTGGGTATTGTCATCTGAAATAACGAATTATGTTGAAGAGAGCACTAGCAGTTAATTTGCAAGTATATCGACTGTTTAATTAGAAAATTTATTACCTGGGACATTATTTTCCATATTGTCTTCTGAGTTTGTCATCTTTATGGACGAAATAGGAGCTGTAATAATAAAAAAGCTTAGACATTTTCTCTAAATTCGTGTTCTAGTTCTTTAATAGTAAATAAATAGAACACCACATATTTAAAAAGAAAAAACATTGGTATTTTAATAATTGTCAAGTACTAAAGAAGAACTTTTAATCCCTAACGATTATAAAGCCTCCTATAATTCCTAGTGATTCGAACTGCAAATGTTAGTCTCTGAAATCAGCGACTAAAGGGATACTTTGTCCCCAAAGTACATAAATATAATTACGTAATCTCACTTTATAAACTAAATTTGATTTTTGTTGTATTTAAAAATAATTGGGACGTACCTTCAACATTTCTGGATTGGCTACGAAGAATTTCCAAAATCGTCATTCCAATTGACGTCATTTCTGCATCAACACTATTTAATGTGTTGCTTCAAGTACACAGCTAAATAACTAATAGCCATTAAGAAGGTGACAGCGAGTAACTCAGTAATGTTAGTGCTACAAGTAAATATCTAAAGATGTCTGGTAATATAAAGTACATTTTGAAAGTTATCTATTTTTGGCCACTCTTTAAATGTTTTGACTGCTCGTATAATATATATCTAGTTGTAGCATTAAAAAAAGCATGAAAAATAGGTCAGATTTAACTAAATAACTCAAAATGCATAAATTTCGAGTAATATACTCATCGGCGTAGCTAGCCTCAGTTTTCAGGGGGGGCCTGTGCCCCAGTGTATGGTTGATTAAAAATTTAATTATTTTTATTTGCCGTGCAATGAAAAAATAAATAGAAGAAATGCGTCATAATAGTATACTGGTTTTATTTTTTAATATACCTAATACATAATATAATATATACACTGCGATAAATATTTATAAAAACAAAGTATTAACAAAATATTACTTACAAGAGAAACTTCCTACTCTGTTCACTAAAAGAATTTACAACACTCTCTAAGTCTATGTTTACATCTTTTTCTATATACAACAAAGCCAAATCTGAATGTCTATCTTGAGTCATTGTTGTTGTTAACCAGTTAAAAATCCGCCTCATGGCAGAAAAAGACCTCTCGCACGTTGCGCTTGAAATAGTCAAAATAATCGATACTTTAAAAAGTTGCTAGAGGTTGGGATATGTTTTTTTCTGAATCAATTAAGTTTTTTTTATATATTCATAACAAACAGTTTCGTTAGATTGTAAAATACAACTTTTTAAAACGGTCATTTCTGCACTTAAGGCAAAAGTGTTGATATTTAAAATTTTGCGATATTGTTCAATGAATTTCTCTGAAGCCTCAAAATCTACCTGAAAAAAATGATCTACTGAATTGGCAAGCGCCATACTTTCTGATGAGAACCTTTTGTTCAGAAATTCTCTTACAGTATCAATAATCTGGTAAAAAATGTTTGCCCTCCAATACTCAATGACTCCTACGTTAGCTCTGGAGCATGTAGCGTCTATCAAACCCAATCCTACGGTTGTTTCAGTGACGAAGTCAACGAGCTTGCTACTGGCTTGCTTTTTTCTTTTGGCTGACGAAATTTCCAATGAAATTTGGTATTCTGTGGCAAAGTTCGATATGTTTGTATGAAGATGGGTATAATATTGTTCATTTCTCATTCCATCTAACGAAGTCATAACACTTTTAATAACCTTAACTGCTTTCCCCAGAGTTGCACCTTTCTCCTGGAGGCTCTTTGATAATTTATTTAAAATGTTTAACACCTCATCCAATACAAAAAGATGAATTATAAATGATGGTTGTTTAATGCTGGCAGAGGATCTGAAAGATGTTCGTAAAGTGCTTCCAAAGTACACAAAAATGTCGATATTGAGGGAACATTTTTACAGGAGTCTACCAGAGCCAAGTTAAGTCTATGAGCTAAGCAGTGCGTGTAAATTGCAGCTGGAAATTTCTCTCGCATTTGTGTTTGAAGACCACTTGTATTGCCTGACATCACCGCAGCTCCGTCATAGGATTGCCCTACCATCTGCAAGTCGCTAAGATTAAGCTCTTCCAATTTTTCGTAGATTAAAATGAATAAATCCGTAGCCGATCTATCTTCTGAACAATCAAGAAATGCAAGGAATCTTTCACGAATTTCTAAATCTTTCAATGCATAGCGAACACATAAAGACAATTGTTCCTTTTTGAAAGAACGAGCTTCATCACACATAATTGAAAAAGTTCCGGATTGTCTAATGTCATCAAGTATATTTCTTAAAGACGCCCGTGACAAGAGGGCAATAATTTCATTTTGTATTTGGGGACTGGTATAGTTTTTATAGGAATTATGTAGAATGTCAAAGTCCTTGTTATACTTTGCTATTAGGCCACATATTTCCTTAAAGTTTCCTTTATTCAATGAACTTTCGCTTTCGTCATGACCTCTGAAAGCCATGCCTTGACGAGCCATTGTTAAGGTTATATCTGCCAACATTCTCAAGTAATTCCTATTTTTCTCTATCTGGGTGCTATATGCTTGTGAAAGATGAGATAAAACATTTCCGCTTTTTATTGTCTTTTTATAATTATGCCATTTACTGAAACTTTCAATGTGATGCAAAGATGCACCATGTTTTTTTAATTTTTCGCCAGTTTTTTTCCAGTTGCGGAATCCCACTTCTAAAAGCTTCTTCATCCATAGCAGCTCCAAAATGACGACAAGCATAGCACAAAATGGAATCTGTTTTGACGCTGTATTTCAACCAATCAAAATCTTTATATTAGTTTGCGCTGAACGACCCTTTTTTATTTCCAAACATAGTTTGTGGAAATCTTTTAAGAATAGGTTGTGATACGTTTTCACCTAGTTGGCCCAAGTCAGAAGCGTCTATTTTCACATGGTGCGTGGTTAATTTTGGTTGAATATTCTGATCCAGATCCTTGCTTATACCGGGCTGCTGTTCAGGCTGACTATTCTCATCTTCTTCCAGTGTAGTTGGTTGTATAGACGGTAAAGATAGTGAAGACGTTTGTCTTTTGAAAAATTTTCTTATGTCCATTATCTGCAACAAAACGAAATTGAAAGACTAAAGAGAATTGCTTACAAAATATCGTTCAATGTGAATTGATAGTTTTTGAGTTATTCGCATTTGGAAACACCGACAGACAGACAGACAGGAGAACAAAAAACGTTCAGAATCGTCTGAAATGCAAAGATCTATAAAAAAATTTGGAATGGAATATTTTTTTCCCAATTTTAAAACGATCACATACTCCTCCATACTATTGTATGTACATAATATGGTGGAGTCAAAAAGTTTAAAATCATCGAAATGAAATACAGTCCAAGAGTCTGAGTAGATACAGTCTAATTTTTGATAGAGTTGATGGGTTGGCAACACCTTTTACAATCATTAATGAAAAAGGCAAACTGACACATAACCTTGACGAAAAAAGCTATAGATACTGAATAAATTGTTAAAAATAAGCGGTAAAAAGAATAAAGTAAACTTACTAACTACTACACTTACTTGTTACTTCTGTAGTAATACGCCAACAATTCTTAAATACAGTTCGCCGTTTTTTATTGTTTGCTGTACACCACGCTGTACACTGTCAAGCCACGTCAAAGTATCTAACTGAAACTGACTGATCTTTGTACCTTGAGCCCGTGTTGGTGAAACACGAAACGCACAGTATTGTATTTCGATAGCTATAGTATAGGCGGTTGGTACGTTAATTGTTTTATTGTTTCTTGTTTACATTGTATTTGCAATTTTTTCTATTAGAATATTTCAAGGGGGCCGCAGGGCAAAAAGGGGGGGCCTGGACCCCTGGCGCCCTCCTAGCTACGCCAATGAATATACTTGTTGCACTAAGGGCGATATAATCCAATAAACTATCTTCTAATACAGTCCCCTGAAAGCCACTCGCAATTATTTATACTAATACAAAAAATATTCACAGTTTAATTTTAGTAATCTATTTTAAAATGTATAAAGTATGTCTAAATTGTCAATATAAATGGGTCAGATAAAATTAAATAATTAGAAAAATGTTTCACCAAGTAACAAAAAAAAAATAGTTTAATTTTATTGTTTTGTACCTTGAGAATAATTTACGAAGTGAAAATCAAAAGGTCAAAATAAACTTATTTTAAAGTAAAATTGTTCCTTACCCTCAACAAAAATAGGATATATTTTTCACTTAATTACTGAAAAATTTTAATTTTTATTAATTATAGATCCATTCGAGAGTGTACCTAAATACTATTCGAGTTTGGCCGAGGAAACACATGACAGTTTAGTTTTGGAGAATTTAAAAACACAACAATATGAGTTGTGGAATAAAAAAATCGCAATGAATCCAGGACATATCAAAGCAGTACTAATTGAATACGCTAAATTTCATGCAATTTCACTAGCAATGAAACAAAAAAATCCTGAATTATTTAAAGCATTGGCAGAGACTAATCTAGATAATCCAATGGAGAAGCTCTTCGGAGGTAATAAGGAAAACGAAGCAAAGTTTAAATCTTTTTTTACTGCAACTTTATCTATGGGATATAAAGCTGTAAAGGATGATATAGCATTAACAGAATCTCTTAAACAATATGAAGGTATAGCATTTGAAAATATCTATAAAAGTAGAAAACCAGAATACAATCTTGTTGTAACTCATGGAGACTGTTGGTGTAACAATTTTATGTTTAAATACCAGGTAATCATTTATTTTTGGTTTTATATTTTTAAGTCGACAAAAATATTCAAAATATTTTTAAATAATAAATTTATTTTAACCCCCTCTGTGGCTCAGTGGTAAGAGCCCCTACCTTTAAACCTAAAGGTCGTGAGTTAGAATCTCATCTGGGTGGATATTGATTTATTGATCGTATGGCAATTACAACACATTTAGAACAAAATTACAAACACTAGTAATATAGGTATATGACAAACTTTAAATAATTACAAACAAACATCAAGTGTATTAACATAATCAATTGACTCTGAAGTTGCAAACAGGAAGTCTTCAGGGCTTCTTACCGTTATAGGATCTTGAGGGACACTCTTCAATAATGTGGTCGATCGTTTGGTCTTTCCCTCAGTCACATTGAGGAGACGGATTCTTTCCCCATTTATGTAGCATGTATGCACATCTGCCATGTCTGGTTCGGATCCTGTTTAGAGTGGACCATGTTTTACGTGGAAGATCAAAACCTGGTGGCTTGTGGGTAATATAGGGCATGTTATTTTGCCATGCATTCCATTCTTGGGACCATGCATTCGTGATGTTAAACTCCTCATGTTTCATTCTTGCCGTTTTCATTGGTGGTTTTCTAGAACGTAGACGGGTATTTCGTGCATCCTCGGTATCTTGGTGGATCGGCAGGTTTATATTGTTCATGATCTTTTTGTATTCACGTGTAAGTGCGTCAACTCATCGTAAATGTGGAGGTGGAATGTGACTTAATACTGGAACCCATTGGGTGGGAGTTGATTTAATTGTACCAGCTATGTGCTGTGCAGCTGAATGTCGACCTTTTTACGTGTGGACTGTGTAGCCAAACTGGGGCACAATATTCAGCGGTCGAGAAAACAAGGGCTAAAGCAGTAGAGCGGAGAGTGGAAGCCGATGCTCCTCAGGTGGTACCGCAGAGCTTCTGTATAATGTTATTTCTTGTACTCAACTTTTGGGCAGTTATTGTTAAATGCTCTTTAAATGATAGAGTTCTGTCTAGTGTTACGCCCAGGTACTTCGGTGTTTTGTTGTGAGAAAGTGTGGTATTTTCAAACCGTATGTTGAGTTCCTTTCCAGCAAGTTTATTGTTCAGGTAAAAGCAACTTACTTCTGTTTTGGATGCATTTGGTTGAAGCCGCCACTTGCGAAAATATGTCTGGGTGGAGAAATTTTAGTTTATTAAAAATTAATGAATGAAAATAATTTCTATTCTTGTGTGATCGGTACACACCGGAGGGACCGCAGACGTTCGGATACAATTAGCGTCTCTTAGCAAAGACAATGACGTCGACTTTGCTAAGTATCATTTAAGACAATTACTCTACACACACACACGCACTACACTAGGTACCTGACTGTACCATGCCAATGATCTTAGTTATCGAGGCATTAACTCAATAATAAAAAAAAAATTATTTCACTCAGTAAAGTCTAATAGTCAAATAAATATCAGCATTTAAAACTCTTCACAATAACTGTTTCTGTGAAGGAATTACACCAAAAAAATGAAAAAGCGCCGTTATGATAAGATTTCATAAAAAAATGTAACAGAAAATGAAATTAATCTTTAGACCTATCAGCTTGATATCTCATTTATATAAGCCCTTTTTGAGAACAATTACTAACAGAATGGAAAATAAGCTTCATTTTCACCAGGTACTAGAGCAAGCCGGATTTTGGAGTAGCTTGGAACGAATGACCGCCTACAAGTAGAGTACTTTAATATAGTCCTTAATACAGAAATTAACAAAATACAGTAGTTATTAGTCAAGTCATTAATATTAATATATGTAGACATTGAGAAAGCATTTGGCTCAGTTCAACATCATTCCATGTTACACTTACAGAATACAGTGTTGATCATTGGTATACAACTCTTGTTCGGAATATAATATAATAGTACAACAGCCACAGCCAGAATGCACTATAGCGACCCAAACACATTTCAGTTTGAAAGGGGTATTAGGCAAGGATACACCATTTCTCCGAAACTATTCATCCCTTAACTACAGAATTCTACGAGAAACAATTGGAGTCAACATAAATAGGAAACATAAAATATTGGAGTTAACATAAATTGGGAGTTTCGAATCAATTTAAGGTTTGTAGACGTCACAATAGTTCTGCAGACTAGGTGGATCATATCTGCCAACTTCTTTAAGATCTTAAGAGCTCTTGTACATAAGTTAACCTTAAAATTAACTTTCACAAAAGACATTTTATGAATAACCTTGTACTGGTCAAAAACATTTTAACTAATATGCCACGAGATTAAATTATAAAGAGACGATCAAGCGACAGAATTAAACAGAAAAATAAGGTAAACATAGGCTTCTTCTGCTTTTGATGACTATTCGTTTCAAATATTGGCGATCATTCTGGCTATTAGTTTATTAACTGATGCTTTAAATAGATTAATTGTTGTTGTGGAAAACCATTTCCTCGGGATTTAAAAAAAAACGATATTTTGCCTTAAAGGATTATTTTCAGTAATCCGTATTTAGTGTCGTTTCTCATTATATGTCCGAGATATTCTAACTTTCACCTTTTAATCGTATACATTACTTCTTTTCCTTTTCCTATTCTTAGTAGTACATTCTCATCGGTTACCTTGTCCATCCATGATATCCTTTTCTTCCTCTCGTGATTGTCCCCGTTTTAAGAATATCTTTGACATCCTCTTCCTTTCCATTTCTATCAAGTCTCCCATCCATTTAACTCTTCGGGTTTTATGAAGCGACTGATGATTAGTTATACAGTTCCTCTAGCTTCACCACGTCGCACCCAGTGATCCACCGTATTTTTATCTCCATATATAGCTGGAAGCATTTTGCTTTCTGATCATTTCAATTTCTCCGTTCTTATTTGATTTTTTTAATTTTCTATACTTCACTACCATACGTCACTGTAAGCCTTATTACTGTTTTGTATATCCTTAATTGTATTTTTCTTAATAAATATCTAGATATCATTAGTGGTCTAAGGCTTCCCATTATTTTATTTACCTTTGTCAATCTTTAGTATTCCCTTTAGCATTCAGTTTCCATTTTTCTCACCATTCTCTTCTGTAATAACTCCTAAATAGGTATGTTAAATGGACCACTTTCTCAAAATTATACTAACCAGATTCATTAGAACTGAAAATAAACTATCACTCTTCCTTTTGCTCCCTATTTCCGTAGATCATGTTTTTCATTGTTTTCGTTGAAATAGTTAGATCATCAGCAAAGTCTAGACATTGATATCCATTGTTGAAAATGGATATGGTCGTTTTATCTAATAACGTAATAACGGATCACCTTGTCCAAGACCTCTATTCACTTTAAAATTATCCGATGAAAATCCTCTTTATAATGCATGATTCCGTCTTCTATTCAGAGTCATTCTTACTGATCTAACCAGTCTTGTGGGCATGCTTAAGGAACTTAGTGCTTCGTTCAGTCTATTTTTTCTATAATACGCTTGTTTAAAATCTATAAAGAGCACAAAGGATTACCTTATGTCTATGTGTAAGTGATACTCACTTAGTTTATCTTCATCAAATCTGTTGGGTCTCTCTCTTAGCTTCCTGGCTAATACCTAGTAAACAGTATCACACAGAGCACGCCTCTGTAATTTTTGAATGCCAATATATTCCCATTTTTATATATGAGGCATAATCCTTGGTATAATAAGCTTTGGTGTCGTTTTTGACCTGTTTCTTGTTATTTTTGAGCCCATTGAATATAATTTTAATTTCATATTTATTAAGCAGTTCTTTTATGATGCCATTATCCCTTATAAAAAATTTTCATTCTCATTTCTATTTTGCCCATTTATTAATTCACTAAAATGTTTTTTCCATATAATTTTTACTGATTTTTTTCACTCGTGCGTTTTTATCTTCTTTTTTCGTATATGAAATGTAATTCTGGTATCCCTTTTAAGTTTCTTGTTCTTCTCTATAAACAACCGTATATCTTTTTTATGAAATCTTTATTCTACTTCTTGTATTATGTTTTTGTTATATTTTCTTTTTTTATGCAGATCCTTCTCATTATTCTTCTTTGATCTTTGCAACTCTGGTTCATACCATCAGTATTAGTTGTCAGTGTCTATTACCTTAATCTTTTCTTTTTTGTTACCATTTTAACGCATTCTTCATCAAATCAATTATTCCCTGCTTTAATTTGTCTCTTTTCTGAAATAATTTTATAATTTGCTACAGATATCACCTCTCTTCTAGTTTGCCATACTTGCGTTATTTCTAGTTTCTCTTCATAGTTCTGGGATAATGCTCTTTGTGTATTTCACTGATATACCTTCTTTTTATTTCCCCCTATATATATATATATATATATATATATATATATATATATATTAGGGTGGGCCGTTGAGTAATGTGTTTTTATTTTATTTTTTTAATTAAGTTGCCTGACCCCAGAAAAGTTGTATGATAAGATAACTTATATCAAAGTTTTTTTTTTTAATAATTAATTTAATTTTTTTCCACTGCCACGTAGCTATATAAGAACGAGAATTTTACGAAAAAATCCAATCATTTAATATTATGTCAAATTCGTTTTTTTTAATTTATTATGGTTGCCTGAGTTAAAAAAAGTGTTTTATACGATAAATTTGATCATAGTATTTTGTTTGACAACTAATTTTTTTTTCTACTGCCACAGCGCTGTATAAAATTAAGAATTTTTCAAAAAAAATGTATTGTATGGTAGATTTAATTTTTTTGCATACAAATAATTAATTTATACTAAAGCTAAATTTGTTTTTAACATATAATACAACAATACGCCTTTGTTGGAGGCAGAAGTTACAGGAGGCCAAGGCTCAATTTGGGCTGTAGCGCAATTGGAAGAAGAAGAAGAAGAATACAAATACAAAAACAGTTTATCTATAAATATATAACGATACAAAACAGAATGTCTTTCAAAAGTAACAATCACATTATTTTAAAAAGAAAGTCTTTCTTTGATTCATATTTCGGCATATTTTCCCTTGATTTCAGCCTGTTCCTTATATAACCGTCTCTTTTTTCACTTCCACAGACAGAAGCTGAACCTTCTGTTACTATTTTGACGGCCCTCTCAACCGCTTGTGTGTGACAAGGGTATGATTTTACGTATGCCAAAAGACTGGTTTCAGGTTTTTGAACAACTTCGCTTAGTTGGTCTTTTGATATCTCCATAGTTACAGGAGGCTCTGTCCATAAAACTGTCTTTTCTGTAAGTAATCCTTACTGCCAAAAAATAATTCTGATACTACGAAATGTCGCTGATCATTGTAATTTAACTGTCTGCTCTTCAAAATTCTTTGGAACCCCAATTGTCTTATGTGTATACGTTCGTCAAACAACATAGCCAAAATAATATTTTCTGGGCTACCAAAGTATCCATTTCTTTGAATACATTTATAGACTATGTCTTTCAATTCTGGTAGTAAATAGTCGCAGAGTCTTATTGTCTTGAATAGATGCCTTGCACCATAAATGCATGACGGGCGAGTCTTAATACAAAACCACATGGGCGCATACACTTTCATTACAAAATGGCTTAGTATTTGTAAATTTTCCGATGGGTTTCTGGTTGCTACATATAACCGAAGGATACGGGAAGCAGTGGTAAGCCACCGAGAATGAACCATTTTTCCAGGCCGTCTCTTAGAAAGTTTTTCTGAACTTTTTACTGCTTGACAAATATAGTACAGGTATCTTAGATCGTCGCTGCGAAATTCGTCCACTGATGAATCTATTGTTGAAAATGAAACTACAGGAAGAGTTTCACAAACTTGCAGTCGTTTCCCAAGAGGCCCCGAAAACGCACTTGGTCCACTGGTATTGTCATCCAGTTTTTCAAATAGGTGTCTTAGAGGCAACTCGTTGGCGTGAAGCTGACAGACAAAACACTGCAGGGGCCTTCCAATTTTATTCTCCAGTAACACTATAATGCCTCCTTTACGCCCTGTATTTGTGACAGTACCGTCGCATCCAACGACTTCTAAGTTATTGAGGTCCAAATTACATTTTTTTAAAAACTCCAAGATTGCATTTGCTATATTAATAGCAGTGCCAGATGTAGGACAAATGTGACCCAGATACTTAGAACCAGGTTCTTCTAACATTGTGATATGCTCTTCCACCACAGTTTTTCTTGCATTTTCCTGGAACACTAAAGACTTGTCTTTTCGTCCATCAAAGTAAAAACCACGAAGACATAATGGAATGAAATCGTTTTGAACCTCAATTCTTTTCTTTTCTCTTGCTCTTCTTATTTTGTTCTTATCGATGATATTTGTTTTATTTTGCGGATCTATGACACCAAAATCTAGTAGCACCGCTGATGCAATAGCTGCTCCTGCTCGGTCTGAAACCAAATACCGGTCAAGTGTTTCAGCTAATCTTGGTATTTCTTTCAGATTGCGTTGAATGCCCTCTGAGGTACTGGGCAAATTCGATAAGCTAGGTTGTAAGTTAAACACGGGCAATTTTGAAGTATTTGCATATGGAATAGAGAAGTCTGGGTCAAAATCTTCAGTATCATATTTATCACAAACATCTGTCGGTAATTCACAAGAAGATTGAACTTTTTCAATGACTTTTACACTAGTTGATTCTAATGTATGTAACGAAGCCATTATGAATGCTTTTCTCTTGAAACTTTATCAAGGGCACCAATCTTCATTTTACGACAAGTTCTTTGGTCTAGAAGAAATGCTTTTTTCAGTTGAGGTACCTAAAAAATGTGTTAAGAAAAGTTATTAAATTAATAACGTATCAGAGTTTCAGTTTACCTTATATTTTTTTGTGCAATTACATGCAATAGTTTCAGAATCCTAAGGGCGAGCGCCCACCAAAGTGGCGTGACAGTGGCAAGTAGCAAGTAGCACGCGTCTAGCATAATGTAACCAATGAAAACGAATGATTCAGTTTACACCAAAATGACAGTGACGTCATTCATTCTAACCATTCGTTTGGATTGGTTACATTATGCTAGACGCGTGCTACTTGCTGCTTGCCACTGCCACGCCACTTTGGTGGGCGCTCGCCCTTACATTTACAGGTCGCTATGTCAAACAATCGTTCACTGTTACTTAAAAACGATTCCAATTGAGATTTGTAACTGGGAACATTTTGTCTTTTCTTAAAAGGTTTGAGAATTTGCCTTCGTTGTTCTTGATATTTTCGTAATAAAAAATAATCCTTTGGTGGCTTATGATTGGAATTGAAACCTTGATCCAAACAGTTTCTACTTTCTGAGCTACAATTTCCAAAGCTTCTGGAATAAGTCGATTCTTATTGACATCATTTTTTTCCAATTCGAAACGAACCCACAAAAAATAACGGATAACATCTTTGTATGTTGGTAATTGCCAATCATTGAAATCACTAGGTGCGCCAAAAATTGGACACTTGGACGATTCTCTAGTTTTAGCCATTTTATCACACGCTACTTTCTACTCAACTGTCGGTAAAACACTAAAAATAATTTAAGTGTCGCTAGGCCGTTTAATTGACTGAAATATTGGTTTACACTTACACCACTGCAAAATCTGCAGCACAAGCGAAGCGTTGACCTCCAATGTCACATTATTTTAAGAATGATAATATATTATAATCGGTAATATTAACTTTGTTTAAACTAAGACTAACGTCTACTTTATTGTTATTGGAAAATTTCGGCACACTCTTTGAAGTAGGTTCCTAAAATAAATTTTTGTCTACTTATTAGTTAGTGGAAAAATACGGAAATAAAGTTTACTATACGTTATAAAGTATGCATCAAACCGCCAGAACAATACAGATTTTATTTCAATTTTTTTAAGTTACAAAATAAATAACCCTGATGTTTCAAAAATTATATAATAAAAAAATATGAAGATCTGCGTTTGAAATAATTATTATTTTTTATTTTTTCCACTGCCACAATGACCTTTTATATTAAAAAAATATAGAGTCTTTGTGGCAGTGGAAAAAAATATTTTTAGCTACTCATTTTGGACTTAAAATTTGTGTTATAGAATAACTCAACTTTTTTGACCACAGGCGTTGTTATTTTCCAGAAAAAAATTTGTCGGCCCACCCTAATATATATATATATATATATATATATATATATATATATATTATATATATATATATATATATAATATCGGTTCTTCGATAAAGCTCTAATTAGAAAATGGTCCAAATCCATTTCGGCTCCTCCCATACTTCTTATATTTCTTAAAAATTTCATTTTACCAATACGCACTCAATCTGGTTAACCGTCCTACTTACAGAACATATCCAAGTGCCCTTATGCATCTTTTTTGTATGTCGTAAATTTTTATTTTATGTTTTATTCGTTATTCGTTAATTTTTAGTTTATGTATAATTTTTTGACTATTAGTTTGAATGCACCTGATGTTTAGGTTATGAGTATATCTTTGGTGCTTTATTCTTTAAAAACGTTTTATCTCATTGATGAACAAGAAGATTTAAGACAAAAACTGCTCAAGGTAATGTTTTAGTAACGAGTTAGCTACTTTTATTAATCGTTGTATAATATTATATATTATTATGCATATTTATTTATAAATTTTATTTTAGGATCCAAAGGATAAAACAGAACCCCAAAGTTTACGTGTGATTGATTGGCAAGCATCTTCTTTTGGAAGTCCATGTGGGGATCTCGCCTATTTCTTTGTTGCAAATGCTTCTGAGGAGGTTCTAGATGATCTCCAAACTTATCTACATATTTACCACGATAAACTGTCCTCACAACTTCGTGATTTTAATGTGGATCCGGAAGAAGTGTTTCCTTTCTCTACGCTTGAAAACCATTTTAACCTTTTTATATCACACAGCTTGTTTCTGGCATTGTTAATTATGAGAGTAACTTTATCTGAAGCGGATGAAATACCTGAGCATAAAGAAGAACCTGACAAGAAAAAATCTGAGGAACTATTAGTCTTATTGGCTTCGCAAATAAAAAACTTTGAGGAGTATAGTAGAAGAATAAAAGTTATAATAAATTTTTTGGTTAAAAATAAATATTTGTAATATAGATTTTGTAAAATACATTTATTGATTCTGATTTATTTAGCGACAGCAGTTATTGTAAATAACAGGAGACACAACACTTAACCTTATTTTCTACTGCCAACAAAATATCTTCTTCTTTGGGTGCCGCGTTCTTAAAAAAGGTTGGCGATAACCTCTGCAAAGTCTTCCCTATTTTGGGCTTTCCTTATTAAACTTTCAAAGTCTAATCCTGTCAAATCTTTAATGTTGCGCAGCCAGGTCATTTGTCGTTTACTCGGGCCTCGTCTGCCTTCTATTTTCACTTCTATGATAAGCTGAAGGAAGTTATACTTGTCATATCTAAATATGTGTCAAAGATAAGACGTTTTACGCTTCTTTACAATTTCTGTGAGTTCACGTTCTCTATTCATACGGCTTAAAACTTCTTCATTTCTAACGCGGTCGGTCCTTGGAATTTTCAGCATACGACGAGATGCCCACATCTCAAAGCTCTCTAAACGTCGTAACGAGCTGACTGTTAACGTCCAAGCTTCCACGCCGTGTAATAGTTCACTATATACATAACACTTTATCATGCGGTATCGTAGGGACAAATCAAGATTACAAGTAGTGAGTAACTGTCGCATCTTTAAGGTGTTCCTTGCCTGTTCTATTCTACATTTAACCTTTTGTTCTTGGTCTAAGGTTTCATGTATCCAACAGCGTAGATACTTTTCACTTGTTCAACTGGATTGTTATTGACTAGTATGTTTATAACTGGTGTGTGTTTTTTGAAATTACCATTGTTTTGGTTTTTTTACATTCACCTTAAGGCTGTAAAGTTCTCCTTCTCGCACTATTTTGGTTAACAGAATTTGTAGTTCTTCTTCACTGCCAGCAATCAGTACTCTATCATCGGTTTACCTGATATTATTTACGATATAATATACATCGGTTTAGAACGCCTTTCGACGTTGTCCGATACCTAAACACCATCTCTTCCTATCTTCGCAATCGTTTGTTGTTAAATTTCTTTCGCTCATGGACTTGTTTATGTCGTGTTGCCATTCTAATTGAAACCTCAATACTCTGGGAGTATTGGATTTTTGGAAATGTAGAACTTACAAAGTTCAGAAGAACTGAAAGAGAAGTAATGAAAAATACTAAAAATATGGCTAAGCTCAGAGAAACAAATTAAAATGGCCAAAGAGACACTAAATCTCAAGTGAGTGTTCGGGTTAGCTTCAATGCACTGAATTGAGGCTTTAAAGATATAAAGCAGATAGCAAGGATAATGAGGTAATGAGACAAGAAACGAAATGAGACCTGTTAATATCAAACGTGATACAACTAAAGATGATCACTGGGAATAAATTTATAGAAAAAGAACAATAAGAAGAGAAGAAGATGGAAGCCAATTCAACGATAGTTGAGATTTTGAAGTAACAAATGACCGGAAACAAATGATACTGGAGATAATAACCTGAAATACAAAATACTAAATACTAATCTTGTCTTGCTATATTATATACTGGTTTGTAGAAACTTAAATAGAACTCAAAATAGTAACAATAAATATATTTATAAAACGTGTATATAGATATATATGTATGAACAATTTACATATAATGCAAAGCTAAATAACAGTGGTAGTGGATGGTGAAAATATACAATAGGACTTAATAGCCCCTCAACAAGCGAATAATCACCGCCACTGGCCAAATAAAGTATAAAGTATCAGTAAAAATTCAAGAATAGTCCGTATCATAGCCAAAGTCTTAACACAAAAAGGTAGCAATTTAAATTTAACTAGTTCGACTAAAATGAGATACAAATTACAATATTGTAAAGATATCAAAAATGACAAATCTGTTACAATTATATTAAATATATTACATCCAAAAGTGAGTCTTCAATACTCTTAATATGTTTTAAAAAAACCACATAAAATGTATTTCCCTTCCCCAATATCAAAATTCTATTATATCAAAATGTATTGTATTAAAAAAATATATTATATCAAAAAAAGTGAGTTTGGTCAGACCCTTTACATCCTAGTTAAAAAAAACCCAATAAAACATGAAAGGTATTTTCCCTCTCCCAATATCAAAATTATATTTTATGAAAATGTAGTCACTTGATCATATGCATATGAAAAGTTTACACTACTAAATAGAAAATAACAAAAGGTTAGATAGTCAAACAACTTATCTTTACAGCCCTATAAGTCCATAGGAAAATTCCTCTTGGCACGGTTACATCAGTTTGTGGCTGTAAGGACAAACCCAGGGGAGTCTAATGTAGTCAAACCAGGCACTGGTCTATCTGCTCCGAGAAATCGGTAACTCCATAACCAAGTTGTTAACTATTCAAGAAATTTAATATTTTCCAGTGAATATTCTTAAATGAATATTGTCAAGTGACGGAATTTGCAACACACACCCACGCCAAAAAAAATATCTTTTTATGTGGAACTCTTAGATTAGAAAATCTAAGAAAATCTAAATTTTAAAATTAACTTATTATTATTATCATTACTGAGATATGATTATTGAATTAGATATTATTTTATTCGTCCCAGATTATTTTATTGCTCCAATTCCGTCACTTTTCGTGAGAAAATTTCACTGATTGGCGTGCCTGCGCTGAGTTCTGACCAGAAACTAACGGCTTCCGCACAGACTCGACCAATCTTCCTTTCAAAGCGACTGCTGCGCGTGTGTGGAAAAATGTCGATTTAAAAATCGATCGCGGGCGGGTTATAAGAAATTTCTTGAGGGGGTTAATCAGTAGCGTAAACGCTACATAATCTGGGTCTTCCTCTTTTCCGTCGACCTATCGGTTGCCATTCTACTACTTTTTTAGGGAGTCTTGTTGCTGGCATACGTTGAACATGCCCATACCACCTTAATTGTTTCTTCTCTATATCTTGAGTTACATTTCCTTCTATTCCCATACGTTATTCCCATTATTCACGATTTTGACTTTTATTTCTTCTTGTGCTTCATCCAGAGCATGTGCAAAGATGTCCTCCGAGTACAAGTTGAATAATAATGGTGATAGTATACCACCTTGTCTAACTCCTCTTTGGATGTTTATGGTTTCAGTATCACCCATTTCAGTTCTGACAGAGGCATTTTGATTCCAGTAAAGTTCACGTATTGTATTAATATCGTTTGAATCCAGGTTCTTTTTTCGCAAGCATTCTATTAGCTGATCGTGTTTTACTTTGTCAAAAGCCTTTTTATAATCTATAAAGCACTAGTAGACATCTTTTTGTTGATCCCGGCACTTTTGCATAAGAACAATGAAACTGAACAAAGTTTCTCGAGTTCCCATACCGTTTGGGAAGCCAAATTGTTCCGGACCCATATCTTCTTCGCATTTTTTGTAAATTCTGTTATAGATAATTTTTAGAACTAGCTTCAGAATATGGGGCATGAGACTTATTAATCGAAAGTCATTACATTTTTTTGCGTAGTTTGATTGCGTAGTCTTGTATATACTGTTGAAGAGTCTTGATAATAGTTCTAAATTGTCTTCTTCCAAAAGTTGTATAATTTTACTATGAACTTATTCAGGTCCAGAGGCTTTTCTGGTTTTCATATTTTTTAAGGCGTATTTTGTTTCTGATGTTAAGATTGGCAAGTCGTTATTTTTGATGTTTGTTTGTCTATCAATATTTATTGTTCTATCGTCTGAGAATAGGTTTTTGTATGCATGTTCGGAATTCAATGCTTATTTCTGCTATTGTGGTCAGGACTCTATCATCCGTGCTTGTTATTGTGCCACACTGTCTAACGTGTCTGATCCCACACATTTTTTTTTAATTTTCTTATGGAGAAGTATATCATCATGTTTATTCTGTAGGTCTTCTATCTCTGCGCAAGTTTCTACAGGCCACTGTGTTTTTGCTTCCACTATCTTTTTTATTATTAGTCTTTGTATTTCTTTATATTTATGCCAGTCTTTGTTCTTGAGTTGTCATCTCACATTCATCATTTCTAATATTTTATTAGTTATCCATGGTTTCTTGCCTCTTTGAGGTGGTCTCAGCTTTTAGAAATACAGTCTTAAGTTCTTTTCATATTTGTTAAGTAGTCGGATTCTTCTGGTACATCATTTTCCTTTTGTCTGTTATTAAGTTCTCTACATTCGTGATTAAGTTCTTATGATATCTTCTGTCTCGTTTTTATATCATTGAGTTAGCTCGTGTCTGATTTCTGTTCTCTCTTCTTTCTTTTTATGCTTTTCAGCGTGTTTTTGAATTTGGCGACGAGCAATCATATACCTGTTTGATATTGATATCGATTGGAATTCCATGTAATTGATACTTGATCGTATCCATCAAGTAGGATACGATCCGAGTAGTAGACCACGTTTTTAATGCATTTTTCTATACCTTCGCTTACGATAATACCAACCCCATTCCAATGCTGTCTTTGAATATTACCTGAGTAGTATATTGTCTTGTTGTCAATTTTCATCATTCCTAAATTAGGCCATCTCATCTCGCTGATGCCAAGGATACTAATGTCAAGTTTATTAATTCCTTGGATGGTGTTGTGGATTTTGCCGGCTTAAAACATACTGTTGACATTCCAGGTTCTAATTTGTATGATTTGTTTATTTGTAAATTATTCCACTTTCGGGTGGGTCCTAGCCTTCTTTGTGGGGATTCTTAGCACCCCCTGACCATTTAAGGTCTGCTTCGGACTGGTGGCCAATTGTGTGGTTGTGCTTTGCATAGTAATAAGTCTAGGGAAATCTGACTATCTTTAATCTAGTGGTTTCCCGTTGCCTTCTACATCCTTATGCCGTTGACCATTTATAGGTTTATCCGCCTTTGAGGTCAATTTCTCAACGCCAGGGCAAAAAAGTATTCATCCGCCCTCATCCGCAACTCATCCGCCCGAAGCCGTTGGTCAGTAAGTGGGGGATTGCTTATACCGTCACTTAGTTAAGCCTGCAGACCAATGCAGTTGCCCGGAGTGTGGCATGTGGAGCCATAAGTGAGAGTTAGTTGTCTTATGAGGACCAGATATCAAGAACCATCTCCCGTCTATGACGCTC